AGGGCCGCTGTCGCCCCGAGCCCCAGCGGACCCCGCTCAGCCCCGCTGCCGCTGCCAGCGCGCAGGGGAAGACCTCTCCTCCTGTCCCTCCACCCTTGTGGGTGTCAGAGCCCACGGCAGAAAGCGTCCCCGGGAAGATCTCTGTGCCCTCCCTGCTCAGGTGGAGGGGCTGTGTCCCAGGAGGGGTGCTCAGCGGGGTCTGTGACCTGCTGGGCGGCTCTTCCCCAAAAACCACTGGGCTCGGTGTGTGTTGCCAACCGGGGTGCCCTGTAGCTGTGTCCCCTGGGCAGGAGGTGTCACCCCCACCCCGGCCACCAGCTCCAGACCCAGCCACAGCCATGGGGCTCACACCCCAGCGGTGATGGCAGCCCTGCCCCCGGGAGCAGCCTCACGGTGACTCTGCTGTGAAGCAGCCACCGGTGCCTGAGGAGCGAGGGGACGGAGCCTGCTGCCCAGGGGACCCTTGCTGGGCAGGTCCTGGGGCATGCTGGCAAGCACGGGCGCTCTGCTCCAGATCCCTGCCTGGACGTTGTCCCTCTGACGGGGACGATGGCACTCATCACCGGGGGGGGCTGGGTCCCCACCCGGGGGCATCGCTCTGGAGGGGGCGTGGGGGCCCCGGGGGCCTCTGCACAGCCGCTCCCACGGCTAGCGAAAAGGGCCCCTGCAGCACCCTGATCCCGTTTGTCCTGATTCCTGAGGAGGGAGGTGCGGAGGCCTCAATGGCTGCTTTCGGCATCAGCCAGGCGATTTTCCAGCCCGGCCTGTCTGCTCAGCACTTCCCTTGGCCGAGGACTGAGGATGAATCCCTGGCGCACGTGCCACATGCGAGGCAGGACGCGCGTCATGATGGTCACCAGGTTAATGGCCAGCATCCTGCTCTACCTGCCAGTGTGCCACCAGCACCCACGGCTGCACGCCCTGTCCAGCAAGGCTGCACCCTGCTGCTGCGGGCAAACCCAGGTGGGTGCAGGAGGGGGAGGCTGGGACGCGCCGGGGCCTGGGGGTACTGGGACAACTGCTTGAGAGTGGGAGGGGAACTGTTTGGTGCGGCAGTGCATGTGTATGGGGCACATGGTATGCTATAGGGTTTCGTGGGCTGGTGGGGATACCTCTGGGGGATTGGGATGCATGAGGGCCACGCAGCGCTCCCACTGCTCACGGTCTGCTTCTCCTCCACAGCAGGGCTCGGTGGGGCCGGGCAGGCACCAGGGGACCCGCTCTCCTGGCGGCATGGAGGCGCGGTGCCAGCGCAGCGCAGCTTTTGACTGCATGCCCCAGCCGGCAGCCTGCTGCCCTATGTGCGGTGCAAGCTGGCGCGGGGCGAGCTCCACGTCTACCACCTCTGCACCTTCCAGCGGGCCAGCCTGCGGGGGGTCCTGCGCCGCACCCTGCGCTTCCTCTGCGCCCACCCCGGTGAGGCCGTGCTCATGCGCATCAAGGAAGAGTTGCCCATTTTCCGCCAGCCTGACTTCGCCGCCCGGCTGCACCGCTGCTTGCTGGAGGAAGGACAGGGCCGCGTGTGGTGCTGGGAGGAGGTGCCAACGCTGGGCCAGGTGCGGGGGAAGATCGTGGTGCTGGAGGCACTGGCGCGGGAGGTGCTGGGCATCCCCTATGAGCAGCTGAGCATCAGCGACGCCTGGAACGTGCTCTCACTGGAGCGCAAGTGGGCCCGGGCCCGGCGGCACCTGGAAAGGGCGGCCATCGGGGACCCTGCCACCATGCACCTCACCTTCTGCTCTGGCAACGGGCTCTTCACCTGCCCCGAGGAGGTGGCCCGCTTCGTGAACCCCCGCTGCTACCAGCACCTGCGGCGCCGGAGGGGGCAGCCTGTGCGTTGGGGGGTGGTCATCATGGACTTCCCCGGGGCAGGGCTCCTCCGGCTCATCGTAGAGAGCAATGCCCCGTGGGCCTGCGGACACATCACAGCAGCCCCCGGCACCCCCACAGTACCCTCACGGCACCCCCGCAGCAGAAGGGACAGACACCGCAGCCAGCACAGCTCTGCTCACTGCCCGCGACGGTGTCCATCGGGACGGACGCTGCACCCAGCACCACGCCTCTGCCGAAGGACGTCGGCGCCCACAGAGCAAAAGCAGGTCTCTAACTCTTGCTGGGCGCCAGGAAGCCTTCCCAGGACAACGGTGTGACAGCGCCAGAGGCAGCAGAGGAGGGTTGGCAGCTGCGGTCGGAGCCGGGCAGGCCGGGGAGCTGCCTCCTGCATGCTGCTCTCCCCTGAGGAGCCAGGTAGGGTCCCGGCGCGGTGCTGGCCCAGCCAAGTCCCTGGCAGAGCAGCAGGGGTGGGTGGAGGGAGGTCCCGCCTTGCCTCCTCTCGGGCCAGTGAGTCCACCCAAAATGCCTCTCTGCAAAACAGTCCTTTTTCTTTCAAGGGTAAATAAAAATAAAAAGAAGCTAGGAAAGCACTCACTGCATTGCCTTGCCATTTGCTAGCAGAAACAAACTCTTGCTTTTGCTGCTCTGCTGTGAAAGAGCCTGTACCCCTCTGCCCATGGCCAAAGCACAGTTAAATTGGGGTTTGTAACCATCTTGCTCTTAAAGCAGAGATGCGAGAGGTCAGAGGAGGAGGAATTCCATTTCAAAGGTGATGACAAATGGTTAGGAACATCCTTCCCCTCGTTATTTTAGCTTTTGTTTTTTCTTGCAGGGGCTTACCCCAAAAGTCAGGGCTGTTAGAGAGAAGCAACTTCAGCAAGTGCCACCAACCCTGTGCACGGAGAGCTGGATGGCCGCAGCAGAGGCGTTTCAGATGGGGCTACCCTGTCCCTGGGGTCACACACTCGGGGGACGCCACACGGGGCAAGGCCTGGCGGTTTGCAACAGTGTGGGCAGCATGGACAGGGCAGTTTGCAGATCCACAAAAGCAAGTGGTTGAGATGTAAAAAAGACCTTAAAATGCACATTATGCCAGCGCCTGCCCTACCTGCAGAAAACAAATCAGCAATTTGAATAGACTGGCAAGTCGCAGGACACTGGAGCAGAAAGGTAACTGGGATTCCAGGAGAGAAAGCATCAAACTGCCAGCTGCGCTGAAGCAGAGAGGTGGGAAAGAGAAAAGGAAATCTCAGCCCTGGCCTGCCAAAAGGTGAAGAATGTCTTCAAGAATACTTCTGTTTCAGGGGAAAACGCAGCTGGGCTCAGTGCCTGCTTGGGGGGGATGCCACAGGATTTCCTGGCTAGAGGAGAGGACACTGTTTGCTTTGCAGGGGCTGGCCCTGGCTGGAGACAGAGCTCTCTGTGCTGAGTACGTTCATCCGCTGGCCCCGGGCGGGCTGGGGCAGCCCTGCTCAGGGAGCAAGGGAGGACAGAGCCCATGCTGCAAAGAGCCAGGTGGGAGGGGAACAGGCAATAGCGCCCAGTGGGTGATGGAGGTGACAAACAGAGGAATCTGTCTCTGGGCTTGCTTTGTGAGACAGGAAAAGATTGAAATCTCTGCATTAAATCACACATGTGACAAAAGCCCTAGTGATGTCTGGGGTGCTGGTGGCCTGTTCCATCGGCTGCCAACGCCTCCACCGCCTGGGTTGCCCCTGTGCCAAGCCAGCATGACAGCTTGAGGTATCGCTCTCGTGTTGGGAAGATGGGTGCCATCAAGGGAGAGCCGGGTGGTTCAGTGGCCCATCCTGGCCTTCCAGGGATGCACAGTGCTGTGGGGAGCCAGGCAGAGCACAGGCAGAGCAATCGCAGTTCCCAGGAGCAGTT